TTAGCGGAAAGTTAAGATAAAACTATAAAGTTTAACATACCAACTGGGATAGTGTAAACATACATCATATATGTAATAACTAAGTTTACCGAAAGTTTACACAGATACAATAGATCTACTTACAGCTAATTAACATAAAAAATAATTTACAGATAATAACAAAGATTTTATATAGTTATCACTTTCCTGACTTGAGCCGATCATTTCTGGTGAAGTATTAGTACATTGACAATTAATGTACACATTTTGATGAGTATCTCGATAATAGAAGGCATTTTTAAAGAGTATCTTTAAGATTTCTGTTTATGTTTTCTCTAAAAATGGATAAGAATTAACTGTCAATAATTTGATATTCAAGTCATTTAAAAGTCAACAATTTTTTAAAATTACAATAACTCCTATTTATCTCCTTTTGATTTATCGTTTTATCTCTTTATTTTCATTATGTTTCCTACGAATTTGAACTGGTAACAAAGCTTTAAATGTTTGTATGCAGGTTTATTGATAAAAAAGTTTTAAATCAAAGATTAAGCTGAGCTCACGTTCAATAAAGTCTCATACATGTTTGTTTCATTTCATTATTTTGCTATGCAGGGCACCACTACATGTAGTGTAAGACGGTCAAAAACTACAACACTGAGTAACACATATAATACTATTATGCATCATCATAATTTGATATCAGTGTTCTTTGACTTATGTTTAATATAAAATAAAAACTTCAATAAAAATACTACGGAATCATACGACTAAACCCTCCATAAACCCGAAAGCAAATTCATATCGGGTGAATGATAAACGAACTATATTTATATATTTTTTTTAGTATTTGAAAAGCGTGGTTTTTATTTAAGCGTGAATGACATTGCTTCATTGGAATTAAATAATCAGTTGAATTCAAAGGACATTGTAGTAGGTCTTTTCTTGAATTATTTGACTTAATATTTATGTTGATCTGTTGGCATTTTCTTGTTGTTTTTTCATATAGTTTACACTAAACATATACAGACTCCGTTTTGGGTTTTTTTCATCTAGTTTACACTAAACATATACAGACTCCGTTTTGGGTTTTTTTCATCTAGTTACACTAAACATATACAGACTCCGTTTTGGGTTTTTTTTCATCTAGTCTACACTAAACATATACAGACTCCGTTTTATGGACATAGCAATTAACTTGTGTTTTTATCATTTCCTGAATAGAAAGTGATAATGATATCAACATGAAAAGTCGGTATATCTACATAATACATATATTGTAAATGATTTGTAATAGGTAATGAGTTTTCCTTCGAGATCGGATAGATTTCCTAAACTTTGATGATTAAAATGTTATTGTGAAGAAATAACATACATATCAAAACGTTCTTATTGATTCCTAACAAAACTGAATTTGAAATGAAAAAAACCCGTTAATTATTAAATATATATATATATATATACAGAAACACAAGAAAATATCAACATGTCAACATAATCATAATTCAAACCCAACAAAACAATTACAAATCATGAACAAAAGAAATATATATACTGAGACTCCTGAAAAAGTACCAGGCGATTAAGACCAACTTCAAGAAGGACACTGTATTGAGCAGTTTAGTTCATTGTTTAGCACTACTGTATCCGACTCCAAATTTGTGTTAAAAGGTGCTATCCACATGTGTGTCTTTTGTACAACCTTTAACATGTATACTTGCATAACTGCGCTATGCTTTTTCATCGTAACGTATATATATTCTATGATGACATCAGCATTTACATGTAGTGTCTATGATGTATCGCTGTAAATGGGACGATTAAAGTCCCATTCATTACGCCGTTGTCGGATATCGGGGGTAGTATGCCAGTACGTGACAGACCTTGTCAGTTACTTTGTTGTTAATAATATCTGTATTGAACCAGGTGCTACATATACAACCTTCCAGCACGGGAAATTATCAGAGACTGAATGGAAATACATTCCTGCCAATCTAGAATTGTCTTCGTTATATGTACGACATTGCTAGTGACTGCATATAATACATGGTTAGCACGGACGTGATATCTGTAATTCTATAGGAATGGCTGTTACAGGTATATTGGTGAGAATTGTCGGGAAATTATGGAAATATTCCTTCAATGTGAACATTGTTGGTGGTTTTATAGAGAAATGATTTTTTTATCAGGGTGAAAATTGTTTAGGAAAGCAAACTTAAGTAGTGCTATTTACTAGTGTGGCTTTCTGTACTACTTCTAATCTGAAGATGCTGAAAACAGGAGCAAGCAAGTTTTAAAGATAAGACTTATATGGGTACTCTAGATTAAAGGCAAATACACGAAATGCAACACACTCAAAAATGAGAACAAGGGCAGTATCAACGCACACTAGAACATTCTAACGAGCGTTTGGTTCCATATCACTCAAGTAAATAAATTGTTGGGTTTTTTAAAAAAAATAGATTTCAACAAAACCAACATTCTGAGTTATCGTAATAAAAAATGTGAAGTGAGCAAATATTTGTTATTTATATAAAGCAGATAAAAACATGTAGAGGTAAAGACAAATAATATATAAAAACTATATTTCCAAACTATTATCTAGTACACTCTGCTTAAATATATATCTTTATACATTACTGAAAGTATGAATGGTTCTTTTATATATTGCTGGAAGTGCTTGATGCTCGTTAGTTTGCCTTTTGGTTCCGTTGTTGTATACATTGTCCTCATTTTAGAACGTGACATTACTTACCTGAATAGTCGAGGTTTACATGGAATATGTCGTAGATGAAGCAAACTACGCTTTCTCTTTCGGAAGGCCTGGTCTTAATCTTCTTATACTTTTTCTGGAGTCTCCTTGTAAATTTTTCGTTTGTTCATATGTTGCCCTAATTTCATTGAATTAGAGTTTAGATTATGTTGACACGGCATCAAATTCAACCATTTTAGTCAATTGATTTCTATGTCTTTTAAGAACTGGAAAGATAGATGGCATGAAAGCATAAATAGAAGAGAAGATTGAGAAGAAGTACGTGCACGTGTATTTGTCCGGGAATAACAATTCTTGCAAAGTAGACGTGTCAGTTCACAATAAGGAAAAAAGAAATACTTTTGATAGAGATGCTGTAATAGATATTAAATTAGTAACGTTTGTTATCGTAGCAAAAGTACAGAGAGTGTATGTAATGTTTAACATAATATAGATTCTGACAATTAGTATGACTTGTACTTGCACATGTGATTTGCGACATTCAATTCATCTCAATAACTCCTCAAGTTGTTAACACGTGTCCATATAAACAATGGGTCGTTTTTTGAGGGGTTGGTTTCTGACAAAACTTTTTTTTAATGATCTTTGTTAGAGAATTGTTTATACTACGAAATAGGCTAAAATTGATATGATATACAATCATAAATCATATCGGGGATGGAAAGGTATTAAAATTACTCATTACATCTATACAGAACCCCCTGTACCACGAACCTGTATCATAATACCGTCGTAACATGCTTGTAGGTATTGGACTGGTTTCTTTCTGTCGTCTCTTTACTTGATAGTCCATCGAAAATTGTCTTTAAAATTTATCTGTAAAAACGCTAGCACAATATTGTCATAGTTTGCTGGCTTGCGTTGCAATGCATTTTATTTTAAAGAGTGTACAAATAACACAAGTGAATAGCTCGCACATTCCATTACAAATTAGGAATACAGTACAGACAGATAATATACTGCATCATACTACTGTTTCGTCCTTCAAGGTCACGTCACTGTTAAGGGCAGGCATCACCAAGGTCAACATCAGCAGGAGATTTGCAATATTTCATTTAGAACTATGGGAGGAGCTAGTTGTAAAAAAAACTGGAGATAAGGGACATCAGGTTACCAAGAAAAATATCAATAAGATAGTAATCCCTCTTGTGGTAGCCTTACACTATTTGGGGTTGTTGACTATCGTGTCAGACTAGGGCCGTATTTTTCCAAATGTTGCCACAAAAATCTCAACATTTTCTAATTATTTCCATGTGTTACTTTTCTCAAAAAGTTTCGAAAATGCGAGGCTGCAAAATAAAAAGCGACGATTTTCTTAAGTAATTGGCACTTTTTCGACACAGCAAAGCGAATAAATTATCAAAAAAAGAAATGACAAAAGATAGTTATTAAACTCTTAAATCAGCCAACGACAATGTGGTCATATCGGAGCGATAACATAACATTTAAAATGTAACGTGTGGAATGACACTGTGTGGCAAAGTGATAAGGTAAAGGTACTCATTATAGTAGAGAACTCCTCTGAACACCTTGGTTGTAGTAAAAGAAAACCTTTTTGCTAAAAAGTGTTTTCTCGTAGTCTTGTAAACATTTTCGATACAACTATCATCGAGACAAGTCTCGAAATTGGGGATTTTCCAGTATGAGTATGTAGTAACGACAAAGGATCTATGATCCTTTCATATGAAAAGCATTATAAAATTAGAAGGGCTGATAGATTTTGCGGACTGAAATTGCGATATAAAAACGAGTGAATTATATGCGTCGAATCAATAAGATCAAAAGAACAAGCAACTGAAAATCTGAAACTACCCAAAGCTAGAACGACAATTACGTAAAACGTTTCAGTTTCACAATCTTTCATATTACGGTTTTGGTGCTTGTTGTGAACTGCGTTCATACTATCCCACCAGTCGTGAAGTGAATGCACACCTAGTAACTGTTCTGCTACTACTATAGACGTCGTTGAATGATTGTGCTCCTAGCAAATGTTGTCCATCAACTGCATTCATATTGTCGTGAACATCGTCAAAAAGACGTCCAACCTCTTATGTAAACAAAGCATTTTATTGAATAGAAATATTCCCTTAGCAGCTTGGACTGGATTGCTAATGGATGATAATGACAATAAAATCATGCATCATTTTGATATGATAATAAGCGGGTATGCGGAGAGTGTGGATGATCATCAATTCCGATAATTACGGATAAAGTAATATGTATTTAATATCATTTTATCCAATTCCAGATGTGGTTTTCGTCGTTGACAAGTCAGGTAGCATAAGTCAGACGGACTTCAACATAGGAATTGATTTCCTCAAAGATATTGTCTCCGCCTTGACCATTGGTACAGGCGATGTCCAGGTATCTGTGGTCAGTTTCTCCGATACTTACAGTGAGGAATTTGACCTTGATGATCACACGAGTCAGACAGCCCTTTTAAACGCTCTTGAGGGTCTCAAATCGTCCATAACTACAAATGGAGGTACCTTCACAGCCGACGCTTTGAATTATGTTCAAAGTACTTCATTCACAAATGCCAAAGGAGTGAGGTCGGACGCAGATCCCATAGTAATTGTAATGACGGATGGACTATCTCAGAATACAGCAAACACTTTAACAGCCGCTAACCTGATCCGGAGTTCTATAACAAACAGTATCATCTATGCAATCGGTATAGGAGATGACCTCAGCTCTACCACAGCAGAGCTTCAGTACATTGCTAGTGACCCGGACACTGATAATGTCTTATATGTCACATATTTTGTGTATATTTGCAACATTGTCCCAAATATTGCTGTAAAAATAGGTAAGTGAGATTATCTTAGATATTAGTATGAATTAACTTCGTCCTACACACCCGACCATTAATATAAGATACATATTTGTCAGATTGTGGTCCATATACTAACCACAAACACGCACATGTTTTGCCAAACAATTTTCAATTAAGGAAACATTATACAAAATTTTGTGGCTTATTAATACTAACTTACAATTTTCACATATCCAACACATCGTTATATGGAAAGGTATATATACCAATGCACGTGCTCAGACTGTACATGTATCGTACGTACGCACTTACCATAGCCGGTTCACTCTTACGATAGTAATTTTGTTCTCAGAAAATGTACATCAAGAAACAAGACTGAACAAACCACCCGGCTGATTTTTTCATAATTTAACAAGACAATTATGGTCAGTATTACTACCACAGTAAGCTAAATGTATCATTACATTTGTCGTTCATTCTCCTTTCCTTGGTGGTAACCTTCCAGCTTCCTCTGCTGAAGGAATAAAAACAATACCTGTGAATGAGTGGTAACGTTATGATGATATTCCACTTCCACAAACATCCAATATATTCAAGAAAGACGTACACCAATGTTAATGTACTATACACATATTTTTTTCTTTCCAGATTCATCAGTGTCTTTATCTGTAGCTGGCGATTGTGCACAAACGACAACGACCGTGTTTGTCGGAAAGGGAGGAGCGACAACAACGACAACTACAACTACTACAGCGGCAACAAATGGTGCTAGTGAAGAGGGGTCTGACGGGGTGTACATAGGCGATGATGACGGTAAGTATTGTATTCTTCCGGCAATGTTAAGTAAGCTCTGAGCTGTAAGAAATCATGTCTGGATAACAACATATAGCATTACCAATCAACCTAATTCCATGATGGCTTGTTCGCGTTTCCCTCACAGTAACACAATACCCCTACAAATGATCACAGCAACATTTTAGAGTTGATTTACCAGAATATTAAAAGGATGGATGCATCCAGTTATCAACGCATAACAGAGCCATGATATCTTAGAATTATTTTACAATTCTGCAGAAAAAATATCTATTTTATTGGTTTTATTTGGCTCCTTGAACAGCCGAAGTAGTAATTAGTTACCTCACCTAACAACATACTGGAGGCCCATTGCATGCCATTCGGAACCACACATAACGGGTAGCCTTCACCTGAGTTTACGTGGGCTTAGCCACATTTACTCTTTAGTAACCCGTACTCTGGAAGTTTTTAAAAAAGCTTTTGTGATCATTTTGTTGGCTCTGTATTTCGTACTATTCCTTGAAGATGACACTGCGATTATCGCCGGCGTCACGACATCAGTCGGGTTGGCGGCAGTATCGGCTGCGGGAGCAGGCATGATCTACAGGTACAAGAAGGGACTAGGACCCTGTAACAGGCAAGTATTATATATTTCAGCGGTACACGGCAGGCAAGCTACATTCTAGATACTATAACTAATATCTATATAGTTAACGGGATGTTGTGTTCCAGTGTAGCACACCATACTCTACTGCCAATGAACAGATCTGTGAACAATGGTTTTACAATTCATTTACTGATTAACAGTAAACAACAAGACCATATACATAATGTTTACAACAAATATACAAAATAAACGTACCTTCAATAGAAACAGACGTGATATATCATCACTTTTAGTCTACTTCATTATTTGACATTATAGGAAATTGATACTTCAGGCTAGTGTAATCATGTTGAAATTTATGCCACGTGCATAAACTTTATCATTTTTTGTGATTATTTTGTTGTTTTATTTACAGCAAGGTTTCTTCTGGCACGAAAATTGCGTGGACCTGAAAGGTTGTCATCCTCACGATTATTATTCACATCACGAATTCTCATATCAATACAGTGGAGTGGAAATAGTTATCATCGTACAGCAGAATGTAACGTCAATGTCTAATTAGGCATTTTAGTTTGTTTTAATTACGTACATTTATATTACAATACAGCAAAATTATTATAGTATTATAGTTCTAGGTTAGATCGTAGATTGACTGGACTATATAAAGAAAATTGTATGACTTTATAGTTCTGGAAGATTAGTTACACGACATCCACCGAGCACCTGCCAATAGTGTTGTCAACATGTACCAAACACGGAATGGTTTCTTAAAATTAATAAGTTTTCACAAGATAATGATTTTTATAGAGAGGAGCAAAATTCATTAAGATAATAGTTAAGAAAAGCAATGTAAAACACGTTTTAGATGGTTATGTACAATTATTGGTAGATCATCAGTATGTGACACGAATTATCTTTGAAATATTGTTACCCGATACGGTGTATCAAGGACACCATACTTCTCCTAATCCCCAGCTAGGCCTAGTTTGTGACGTTTCCAATGGTTTGAAATGAAGCGGTTTTTTCTTCCCAGATATAAAGGTCTTGTCGCTCTGTTATTAAATATCATTCTTGATCTTACCTTTAAAATATTGTCGCTGTATATATTGATAATATAGTGTCTTGCATTCTGTCCACTATTTTGTGATAATCTACAATCGGATGTCTCGACGAACGATTAGACGAGGTGATGTCTATTTCATTCATCAGCTGTTCAATTGCTAGAATGCCACTAGGTACCGCGAACACAAAACTTCGTGTATTCTTACTTCTTGATGAGTAAAATTTAACGCAAATGTCCAACGAAGGTGAATTCTTTCAGGGAAAATAATTCTTTGATATTTAAGATATGTATCAATTTACAATACTCTCTGTCTCTACAAGCTTATAAACCATTTTTTCAATTGTTATCATTAAATGGTAATCAGCAACTTCGTTGATTTTGCTTTTATTCACACAGACGAACAGACAGAAACGGACAGTTTACTTTGTACACTGACCGTACAATGAAAGGAGTGAAGAAAAGACTTTCTATTTCAATAGCGAACAGCCTTCAGATCACTGAAATTAAAGCCTGAAAACGTAACATTACCATTGCAGTAGCCATATAATGCGGAAGTGTATTAGGTTCACTTGAAAATATATTTTACTGTATTGCGAAAATATCTGACCTGCGGTTTACAACCATATTTATCCTGCAACTGTCGCTGCTATTGTTGAAATACACCATTTCATACATTTCCATACATATTTTTGCTGTATCCAGCCGTAACAGGAAAAAAAATTCTTTTTAGCACGTGCGTCAATTGACAAAATTACTTTCTGAATTTACTTTAAAATTACTTTAAACAATATAAAAAGCTGTTGAAATAAGCGATTTTTTATTTCGTGATGAACAAGTTTATTTATAAAATTAACAAAATCGCTGTCACATCCGTTAAAATTTGGAACTATATTTCTACGCGAAGGAATTATTTTGGCGTAAGCCATCAGGCAAAAATTTAGCTCGAACAGAAAGACTGAAGTAACTCATTTTGTCTTTTTTCACCCTTGCAAAATACAGCTTATATCTTAAGATACTGACCATGTATTCTCTATGATGACCGCGACTTCTTATCGTTAAATATTGAATCTACTATGGTTGCCTGCGCTGAAGCAATAGGTTTACAACATAAGCAGGGACTATCACAGCCCAAGATATCGGAATATCTCGCGAATTTTGGCTTTTTAGAGGGAAGAAATAACTCTTGGCGTATGTAGTGAGGACAACAAGAAGATCTCAAACCACATCTTTCTGTATGAACTAAGGACAATGACAAGAATTTGTGACAGAAAATGTCAAAGCATAATAATTTCTTGACAATTCATCCTGTAGGAACTTATTTCTGTATTCTATTCAAGGATGAAAAACTCTGATGACAATTTAACCATTTTATTAGATGATGTACTGACAATAGAATCGTCCACATCGTATCCACTGACACATAGCAATATACACAGAGACTCTCTACCTACTTCACAAACAACTCAAGCACTAGGATTTCTGATGTCCGCAATACAGCCCAATAAGGCAGCTACTGTACACTCTCTATGTCAGGTATGTGTCCAAATTCCACGGAGTACCTTACAGATATTTCTATCACACTCTTACAATAGAATAGTAGAAAACATAATTTTTATGAAATGAAATATAAAAAAGTCCTGTCATTGATTTTAGACATCCTGCTAAACAAATGTATTTGTTTTCTTTTCAAATGAATTGCGATAAATTTCAAACCACAAATAATGTTCCCTGGACTCAAAAATTAATTCTCTCCGATAAGTTCAAGCAGGAAGTGAGTTGATACACTGCATTTAGAAATTTTCATGATTTTTTCACAATTATGACATATATTGATAGATAATGATAGAATCAAGGCAATTCAATTGATAAACCTGATATATAGGGTATACAGTAAACAGCTGTAGCTCCTGAGTGAGCTGTGACGGACACGCCTGTAGTAACTGTCTTTGGCATCGCAATATTCAAATGCTGGATTTACTTGTGACAGAAAGGGAATCACACACAACATATATTAAATATCATTTTTCCTCCATAACAGATTCCTTGAAGGAATACGTGTTACATGTATATATGTACAAATAGATCTGTTCAATATATTCACTAATAAAACAATTACTGTTGAGGCAATCAATATGAAAACATCGAACATGATGTGTATCTATACAGTACAGTACAAACACAGTAAAAATACAGCAAAACAATGGTGACAACAGAACTCAGGCTTAATACTTGGCTTAACAAAGCCTAACAAATCAAAATATGCTGTACTAATTAAAATCCTTTGGTATCAACTGAACTTTGTTCAAATACATGGGACATTTAAGGTAGGAAAGTATTTTAAGCTTATTCAAATACCTACCGCTACAAAATGCTGGAGTTAATCCTGGTGTAAAACCATAGTATGAAAGGAAAGGGGAGATAATTTTTGAAAAAAAAAAATGTTAAAATTATTTAAGTTTATTCATCTTGTCATTTATATCTTAATCTAAGAAAATATCACTGTCTTTGAACCAGCTTACAACAACTTTTAAAAAAATTTCCCCAAATACAAGATCCAACAAAAAAAAAACAGAAAAAAATTGTAAGAGCTGAACAATTAAATACCTGAATATATCATCATATGGTTTGTTTTTGTTTCAATGATTACTATGATAACAAAATTAATTTTTAGTGTGTTTAAAAAATAAGTTACAACCGTTCTTTCAAATTAATTGTTTGCCTAAAACTAGCCAAAAAAAATTTGAAAACAACAGTCACATTTTGAGAAAGAACATTATCTTGACAAAAATCTCAGCTTTGCAGTTTTATTTCTTAGTACATTTCTTAGTACAAGTGAAAAACAAGAGTTTATTGCTGACATCAATTCACTAAAAATTAATTTGTAAATAAAGTTTTCTAAAATTCCATTAATCTTGAATAAAATTAATTGATTTGGTAAAATAAAGAATACGTCGAAATCAGATGATTTCCATCAATGACAAAATTTACTGGTAACAAAATAATGATCCATATCAAATAACCTTACATTAAAATCAAAGCACAATATAGCTACTTTCCAGAACATCTGTGGCATTAAGTTTGACATAATTCGATAGTTAATGGTCTATCTGGTTGGATCCAGTTCACAGATTTTGTAGTGAAGTACTCAAACTTCATGAATCCTGGGATGTATATTAGAATAATCATAATGATGAAGCTTTTAAAGTATACCTGCATGTCATTTCTGTTTGGGAAGTTTAGTTAAATTACCCAAAGAGTTAAAAGTGCAGCTTGAAATAAATAAATAAAAATTAAAATCACAGATAATAGTAAACAGTTCACCTGTATATTTTTTCTTCAGGTATTTTAGACAGCATCAAATGTTAATAAAAAAAAGCAAAGGGACACAGATACATATAAAACAGTGAAAAATCAAAGAGAGGGGAACACAAGAAATAAATAGCATCAACCATAGCTACTACAGCACCAATCATTGTAACTACGGGAGAGATAGATACATAGTACCAGTCATTGTAACTACAGGAAAGATAGATACATAGTACCAATCATTGTAACTACAGGAGAGAGAGAGATACAGAGTACCAGTCATTGTAACTACAGGAAAGATAGATACATAGTACCAGTCATTGTAACTACAGGAGAGATAGATACATAGTACCAGTCATTGTAACTACAGGAAAGAGATATATAGTACCAGTCATTGTAACTACAGGAGAGAGAGAGATACAGAGTACCAGTCATTGTAACTGAGAGAGAGATACATAGTACCAGTCATTGTAACTACAGGAGAGAGAGATACAGAATACCAGTCATTGTAACTACAGGAGAGAGAGATACATAGTATCAGTCATTGTAACCACAGGAGAGAGAGAGATACATAGTACCGGTCATTGTAACTACAGGAGAGAGAGAGATACATAGTATCGGTCATTGTAACTACAGGAGAGAGAGAGATACATAGTACCAGTCATTGTAACTACAGGAGAGAGAGATACATAGTACCAGTCATTGTAACTACAGGTAGGAGAGATACATAGTACCAGTCATTGTAACTACTGGAGAGAGAAATAAATACATAGTACCAGTCATTGTAACTACAGGAGAGATAGATACATAGTACCAGTCATTGTAACTACAGGAGAGAGAGATACATAGTACCAGTCATTGTAACTACTGGAGAGAGAAATACATAGTACCAGTCATTGTAACTACAGGAGAGATAGATACATAGTACCAGTCATTGTAACTACAGGAGAGAGAGAGATACAGAGTACCAGTCATTGTAACTACAGGAGAGAGATACATAGAACCAGTCATTGTAACTACAGGAGAGAGATATATAGTACCAGTCATTGTACCTACAGGAGAGAGAGTACTTGTCACTGTTAC